GATTATTTTGAGGCGCCATCTTTTAAAAATGCATTTGTGCCTGACCACGGAAATGAATGACGAGGAGTTCTATGACGACAGCTACACTGTGAAGTTCGTGGTCGAAGCCGCATGGCTGAGGTACAACAACATTGTTGGTTCGTCTCATCCCTCGCTGCCTCTATCTCGCCCTGATTTTTATGCGCCCTTCCAGAACTTTATAAGAATCAGCAAATCGCGGATATGAAACAAAACTTTGAATGGTTTTCATGTGGACTAGTTGAGTCTCCTGTCGCATTTGGGCCTTTCATTCATATGCTGATTCGGATGCTTGCCGCTTCCTTCAGTTCCGCAGTAAGTCGGTTTATTTTACCCTGCCGTTGGTGAGGCGGAAGTCTGATGCGATCTTCAGAATACTTCGAATGGAATGAATGGACCGACGAGAAGTATTACAGGGAAAACCAAATAACTTCTTACAGTGGTATCTCGGAAATTCGTCCAATCAAGGCTGAGGACTTGAAGGGGATCCTCCTGCACGAGCTCACGCCGGCGATGTTTAATGAATCCTGCCTTAGCAATGCAAAATCAGCGGCTGCTGCTACTGGGGATTTACCACCGTAAGTGCTCACCAAGCAATACCGTGGAAATCTAATTTCGATTAATTGCACAGCGCGATTCCGAAGACTCAAGCCCCAACTAAACCTACTCCGCTGGAAACGTACGTTGTCCTCCGCTATACCTATCAAAATGCTCATCGCTCCTCAGTGGAGAAGAGGCCACGTCTGCTTCCCTTTCCGAGATCGTAACTTCCCTGTAAGTTGTGATTCTAACCTGAAAGTAGCAATTCTTCGTGACCTCCGTTCAGCTCAGGTGTATGGTTCGGCTTCCACGCTACGGAAGAAGGGATCCCGTATACTGGCATGTTCTACCTGAAAATTGCAGCGTCGATCCGACCGGGTCAAACCGATGTTATCACCATCGCGGGCGAAGGAAGCTCTTTTGGCCCCACCGTGGAAAAAGTGGGGATGATTGAGGGGACTGCAACCCCAACACCGAACGAAGTCCACATAAAAGTCGAGTTCAAACAGGGATTCGACTCTGATGAGTACGGTTATCAAGGCATTTTTGCCCTGGACCTGCACATTATCAATGGGTCATGCGCTTCTCTTAAATCGGACGATTATCGGAACGGGCACTTCCTCCTCAAAAAAACGCCCACGGACAGCATAATGTGCCATCGGCCACTCTTTCCGAGGCCGCTCAATGCTAGAGAATTATGGTCGTTTGCATGTGACGCCGTCGTTGGCGAGTTAAATCGGCGCAAACCTTCGATGCGATACTTCTTTAGGCGCATGAAGATGATCAAACGGTGTCTGGAGCTTCTTCACCGACCCGGAGAGGCCCGTGAACTCAACAATCTGAGGCGTGCATTTACGGTGCAGGAGTACATAGAAATCCAAACCTTGGCGGGCTGGTACACCCGTTGCAGTGACCTTCAGCCGTAAGCATAATCCTTGACATTCAGATGCTATATTCTCAACCGTCTCTTAGGCCGCTAGTCTGCGACTCGTGCGGCGAATTTATCTTTCGGTCCAGGGTACTCTGCATGGAGTGTGGCCCCGCCCATAGTGTAGACTTCGACGCGAAAGAGGATTGCCTTTGCAGCTCAACATTGGCTAGGGACGACCTCACCACCCCACACCAGCCGACACATCTGCTTTTGAAAACTCGAGACGTTTTGTTTCTTATGGATTATCACTCCGTCAAGAGCAGAGCACTGAATTGCTCAAATTTGGCCGCTGGGTTGTATTCTCGTGCAAGGAAGGTCGTAGGACCGGCTGTAGCTGATGTGGGTGTCTCGTTTTCAGAAGTTCAACCCACGTCTGTCGCTGTCACCGTCGAGGTTGCGATGCCGAACGAGGTGTCTCCTCCAACACTTCCACCCCCTACGACTTCTCGCACCAACAACAATAATTCCAGCACCGAGGTTCCCAAAGCCTGCAGTGACTGTAGCCTCGAGGACCATGCCTTGACATCTCTGCCAGAGAAACCCGCTACGAATTCCCGCAGTGAAGACAGTGCTGGGGAATCCAAGTCGAACTTAAACCCAGCGCCAGCGCCAGCACTCCCAGGCATCGGTCCTGATGGCACAACTTCCCAATTATCTCCCCCCGCCGCAGTCTCCGATGCTGGGGATACGCATGGAACAACTGAGGGCCCTAATTCCGAGCCTACGGTTACCACAGCGGATAGCGAGGACAACGAAAGCATCACGTTGAACTGCCTAATCTGCCACAAGCGAGCTTCCGCGCCATGCTGGTACTGCATTGACTGCCGCCGTGAGTGGCGATCGTCAGTAATAAACTTCCTTGCTAACTCGAAATAAACTAGAATACGACGCGTTCGTTTGCAGTGCCTGCGAGACAGACATCGAACGTCTGTATCCATGGGAGTATCAAAACCGATACCGCAAGGAAGCGCGCGCATCCTCATCTGCCCATAATGTTCTCCATATGCTGATCCGATTCGGCAACACGGAGGGTAAAATACAGGTGGAAGCGGCGAAGACAGTTGAGAGCAGCGAAAACATTACGCCGGAGCAGCAATACGTAGATCGACGGTTGCGCGAAGTCGAGGAGCGGTTAATTCTGCGGATGGAGAAGAATCAGGAACAGGTAGACCAACGGCTTGCGCGGATCGAAGCCCTGCTGCAAGTCCTACCCTCATTAGTGAGTCTCCTGAAGAACGACCACACCTAGTATTATGTACACTTTTGTATCAGGATTTTCGCGTTTTCATGTCCAAATTATTGGCAAAAATTCAGCCCTGCGTTATTCAGGTCCCATTTTTCTATGGCCAGCCGACTTTAGATCAGTTCATTTGACCGCATAGCTAGGGAATTGAGGCGCAATTAGATGTGCGTAAATCACGAAAAAAACGCTCTGGGAGGAATAATGCTCGAACGAATTTTTCGAGGGTTGAAAAGAACTTTTCGAAGTCTAGCATGGCGGTGCAGGGCTTCAAATAGAAGTGCTGCCCACGTCTCGACAAGTTCCGTCTGGGAAATGCAATGAACTGAAGAACACCGAAATTAACGCGTTTCCGTCAGATATCTGGCAGCTGGAGCTCGCGTAAAAGGGTTGACGCTTAGCTCGGCGCGCAGCAGGATAAATATGGCTGCGGAAGGACTGACGGTTTGGTGTCCCGCCTACCGTCCGCACAACTGCGTGATCGCCTTTTGGTCTGCCTCTGAATTCCGACTCGGACGGAGTTGAGGGAACTCGCATCAATGCTTCCCTTAGTACGTGCCTGAGCCAAAAGATTGAAGAGCTCAAATAATGCATCGAAGGACAAGCAGATTCCCGGGGCGTTGGGACAGACAGAACAGACCAGAGAGAAGAGGGACAGTCGGGGTTGCCGGATCCGGAGCACGTGCCTTGTGGAAGTTGAAGTTGAAGTTATTGATTCGCAGCGTGCCTTCACATCTATTTTTTTTGAGCCGAGTATGGATCACAGTGCATGTTCAATAAAACGGCAAGTCCAGGATTGAACCGGTTACATGTCCCATAGGACAAAAAAGGTTAATGTGGGCCGCGGCTCAGACTTCAGGCCGTGTGGTGTGGACAATTGATGCAAGGCGGCGCGCCTGTCATCCAGTCGGTTTGGTGCGAGATGAAATCCGAGTCGCAGAGCAGCGGCGAAAAAAAGTCCAAGCCCTGGATGTATATAAATGACCTTTTGAGCTGTGTTTGATTTGAACCAAGTGCGGAGACGTGCTGAAGTTTTGCGAGAACAGCCTGAATCTCCTGACGACGCTCGGAACGTGATGGGGAAAAAAGAGGACAGGAGGCGGAGTCTCGGACCGCGGAGAGAATCCCGCACGGAGATGTAGACCGGAAGAACGCTTCGTGGGCTTGCAGGCGGGATGGAATCCTCACGAAAGTAAGTGCGACAGATTACAAGTCGTGCGAGCGCCGGCGACAAACGAGTCGGCGGCGGTGTTCGGTGCGTTCGACGTGCTCAAAGACCGATGTGGGGCAGCGCTTCGGGATGCTGAGGTTATGAAATCAGGAGCGCACTTGCGGGTTCAGGCGCGAGAATTATTTCAGGTGCGACAGGGAGGATGCTCCGGTGCAGACGGAAGATGCGCTGGTCCCGATCGCTTGAGCCAGCCAGCGGAGCCTCGGATATTGGAGCGCGAAGATCCATGGAAAGCGGGGTGCCGCGAACTTAAATTGCGCACATGAATATCTGGGAGGGCGCTTCGTGAGATGCGAAAATGAAGTCTGCAGTTAAGTCTGCAGTGGAGACGCAAGATCGAGGAGTCTGACAGCCGTTAATGTACCCGGAGAATGCGCAGGCCCTAAATCGCTGCGCGTGTAAGCCGATGAGATGGCAATAACGGGGCCATGTTCGGTTGAGATTGCCTAGAGCATCGCGTGGATAGGTATTGTATGCACGAGGGCATCTTTTCCAGTCGCAAAACAAGGCATGGGCAGATCGAAGATGTAATGCAGATGCCGTGGCAGACAGGGTGAAGTACGCATTGCGACGGCTTGAGAAGTGAAGTCGGTATCTGCAAAGAGTTCCAGCGGGAGAAAGCCTCGGGCTGCTGCGCTAGATGCTTGGGCGGACTTTTGGAATCCTGGTGCAAGAGACACGATTACCCAAAGCAAGTGGAGTAGTCGCCGGCGGGATCTGTGACAATGCCTCCACTAGTACGCTGACACGCAGCGTAGAAAGGCTGAGGAAAGACGAATGTATCCTCCGGATGGTGGGCAGGAGGAAGCGAAAAAGCAAGAGATTAAGCCGGATGTTGCCGGAATCGGAGCAGGATTCAGAGCACGTGCCTCTCCTCGTTGAACTTCAAGTTGAAACCCACACTGCTTCTCAATGAGATAATTTCTCCCGGGTATGTAGATTACACATAAATAATTTTAAGAGCCTCTCTGGGAATGAGCGGTGATACGTCCGCAGAGTAAATACAATAATAATAATAATAATAAAAGAATTCATTGCTATGGCCTGACCTTGATTCGAACAAGGAATCTCCTGCTGAAAGAGTAACAGACACAAGATATATGAAATCAAGCAGTTGTGTTACCATTACACCACCAGGCCCTCCCCTATCCCTCCTCTACAGCTGAATGAATACAAGCATTTGGTCAACGACACAATGAAAAAAAAGGATTTCTGAAAAAAAGAGAATGGTCTGACCTTGAGTCGAACAAGGATCCCCTGCCAAACTGGACTCGGAATTTCTTTATGTAAAGCAGACGTGTTACCGTTACACCACCAGGCCCTTCCTTGCTCTCCTCTACAATTGAATAAGTGCAACAATTTTGTGAACGACACAACGAAAAAAAAAAAAGGATTTGTGAAAAAGTGGATGGCCTGACCTTGATTCGAACAAGGATTCCCCACTGAAACATCTATTGCAGATCACCCACAGATATAACAGGTGTGTTACCATTACACCACCAGACCATTCCTTTTCCTGCTCCAGAATTAGATAAGTGCAAGAATTTGGTCGACGACACAACGAAAAAAAAAAAAAGATTCCTGAAAAAGTGGATGGCCTGGCCTTGAGTCGAACAAGGAACCCCCACCAAACTTCTCGAGTTATGTCCGATGCAAAGCAGGTGTGTTACCATTACACTATCAGATCATTCCTTCCCCTTGTCAAAAGCTGAATAGATGCAAGCGTTTTGTGGACGACGCAACAAAAAAACATTATGAAAAAGTAAGTGGCCTGACCTTGGGTCGAACAAGGATCTTCTGCTAAAGACATTAAATTCCAGAGGAAACTAAAGCAAGCATGTTACCACTACACCACCAGGCCTTCCTTACCCTCCTCGTGAACTAGATAAATACCAGTATTTGGTCGACGACACAACGAAAATAAATATTATGAAAAAATGAATGGCCTGACCTTGGGTCGAACAAGGATTCTCCTGCTGAAGGTGTACCAGAATATACATATACGAAGCAGACATGTTACCATTACACCACCAGACCCTTGCTTATCTCTCTACAGATAAATAACTGTAAGAGTTTTGTGAACGACGCAATGAAAAAAGGATTTCTGAAAAAGTAGATGGCCTGACCTCAAGTCGAACAAGGAACCCCTGCCAACCTTCTTCCGATCAACATATGTAAAGCAGGTGTGTTGCCGTTACACCACCAGACCATTTCCTTCCCCTTGTCAAAAGCTGAATAAGTGCAAGAATTTGGTCGACGACACAAAAAAAATATTATGAAAAAGTGGATAGCCTGACCTTGAGTCGAACAAGGAACCCCCGCTAAACTCACTCAATATTCCTACATGTAAAACAGGTGTGTTGCTGTTACACCACCAGACCATTCCCTTTTCCTCTCATCAAACTAAATAGACCCATGATTTTCGACACCAGAAGCAAAAGGGAAAAAACCTGCAGAATACAATGGCCTACCCTTGACTCGAACAAGGATCTCCTGCCAAACTCGCTGGATTTTCGGCCATGTAAAGCAGGTGTGTTACCATTACACCACCAGACCCTTCCTTGCTTCCCTCTCGAACTAGATAAGTGCAACGATTTTATGACCACAATGGGGAAAAAACATCTTTGCAAACTGCCGGAAAAAAAACGTCGACTTCTTTTGCTATGGCCTGCCCTCGAGTCGAACGAGGGACCCCCGCCGAACCTGATTTCACGCATGGGTAGGGAGGGCGGGTGTGTTGCCGTTGCACCAGCGGGCCGTGTTGTGTGTCGCACAGCTGGTGATGAGTGTAGCTCGGACTCCCGACTCGGAGAACACGTGGGTCTTAATAAATTAAACGGATGGCTTCGAATCGTTACATTATCGCCGTCTCAAATAAAGTACTCCGCGTCGATATTATGTGCCGACAGCCACAGAGAGAGGGCTGGCTCGTGGAATCGGGCAGCCGGGAGGTGGGAGTTGGGAATTGGAATTGGAATCGTGCGGCAGGCGGGCGAGTGGTGGCTGGGCGTTGAGCGGTGGAGGGGCATGGTGCGGGCGCGCGCGCACGAGGGGACGTGTACGGAACGCCGGCGCCGGCGCGCGTGGGGTTGGTGCCCCGCGCGAATCGAAATTGTGGCGCACGGCGCGCGCCTGCATCTGGGGCAGAGCTGGAGCCGTAAGCGGAAGGCGGAGACGCGCTAGAATAGCAAAGATGCCGCCGCGCCAAGGCAGCGTGAGTCGAGATCAAGGCGTAGGTAGGAGGGCCCGACGAAAATGCTGCGCGGAACACGGGTCAGATATTGATATCCAGAAAAAGCCGCTGTTGAGTTGGAATCGGCCATACAGTACACACTGCGCAGGCTGACGCGCGTACGGTCGTTCAGAGTCATCCTTTTGAGACTGAGTCGGTCCCAGCGACAGAATATGAATCATTTAAGCGCGGTGGACAGCCCCAAGTTGATCATGACAACTGTTGCAAGAGAGCAAGTCTAAGAAATTCGTTCTATTCAGCACGGATCCCTCTCTTGGTCGAGTGGAGTGGAGCGTTGACGTCGCCGACTCGCCACTGAGATGAAATTCAGACATGCGAGATGGCGGGGGAAGACAAGAATAAAAATGCACGTGATCCACATACGTGTGTCATCACCGCTGCCGCGCTGCGCAGCCTCCTCAATTCCCACATCTTGACCACCACCACCGTACGCCTTTGTCGTGCACTTTCTCTGCTCCCGCTCACATTTCCCGCAGTTGTAATACCGTATGAAGCTTTCTATTGTTCCTATCGTCGTGGCGAGCGCTGGTCTCCGTGAGCCCCTCTGCTCCAAGCCAATTACTTGCGGATGCTGATGATTGATTGTGATGTGCGACAGTGGCCAGCGCGAGCCCGATGCGCGTCGTCATCGTCTCGTCGAGCGAACCGATGCGTGTGCCCATGGCGCCGCCCATCCCCAACGCCGTCCCCATGCCGCACGTCCAGATCGACGTCCCGCACGCCAAGCCCTGCGGCGGCGCCCGTCTGCGCCAGAAGGCCATCAGCTTCGCGAGCGCCTTCCGCCTTGCGCTGGGCTTCGGCTCTGACTCGGACAAGGAGAAGGAGGCGTTCAAGACGCTGCCGTTCCTCACGCCTGGCCCCGTGCGGGTGAATAACGGCAAGACCGCGGGCGGCGACCGCCTGCGCATCGTCAACCTGCGCCCCGCCAGCCCGCCGCCCGTGCCCGTCCGCATGGAGCCCACCGTCCGCGTGCACCACCACCACGCCCACGGGCGCTTCCACCACAAGCAGCACTCGTTCCTCATGCGCGTGCACTTTGCGCTCATGAGCCTCGGCCCGTGGGAGGGAAGAGCTGTGGCCTTTGTCCTTGGTGCGCACCTTTGTGTTCCCGCCTTATCGCCCTTACTGACTCCCTCTTGCGTTGCACGTACAGGCTGCGGCATCGGCGTCCTCCTGCGCATGTTCTTCGTCCTCGCCGTCCTCGCCGTCCGCGTCCTCCGCGGCTCCAATTCCTCGTGGACCACGTACCCCGGCGCCGGCGAGCACGAGTACCTCATCGTCGGCGAGGACGCCGAGGAGATCTTCGTCGCGCCGCCGGTGTACACGACGGGCTACCCCGTGGAGAAGGAGGCGGAGGCGCCCGTCGAGGCCAAGTAGACGCCTGCTGGGCGCTCCGCACCGTCCGCGATCTATCGTCTATACATCCCCGTCCCCACCATCACCTACCCTACCCGTCTACCTACCCTATCCTGATTCCAATTCCGCGTTCTGATTCTGATTGTGATACGATAACCGCCCCCGATTCCGAATCTGTCCTGAATATACTTAGTTCCTAGTCGCTCGCACAGCTTACCTCCTTAGTCGCTCACACAGCACGGACTCCGTAACCGTAACCGTAACCGTAAACCGTTTTGGTTCCTTGTGTATCTCTTTGTGTGTGTTTTTAGGACGGCTGAGCGCGGACGCATGTAACCAAGTGCGGAACCGGAACGTGGCTGTGCTGATGGCGCATCAGCGCTCCCGACGATGAGCTCCTCGAACGCGCGATTTGTGCGTCTTGGCAGTCGAATCGACTGGCTGTGCGTCCCAGCAAAAGTCCCCAGGCTTGTCGGGGGCGCGTGATCTGTGGAGTTGATTTTGATTGGGAGTTGAGGTGCTCGGATTCCGAAAGGTGAGATAGATATAGCACTCATGGGTGTGAGGTGCGGTATGGGCCTGGTGGTGGAGTGGTAACACACCTGCTTTGTATAAATCGTAGAGCTGAATGCTTAGGCAGGAGATTCCTTGTTCGAGTCAAGGTCAGGCCATTTCTTTTTTCTTGTTTTTCTCTCGGTTGTTCGAGGAATTTGAGGTGATATAATTCATTTGCGAGGAGGGGGGGGGGACAGGCCTGGTGGTGTAATGGTAACATGCCTGCTTCACATTTGAATGTAAAGTGGTGTCAGTGAGAGATCCTTGTTCGAGTCAAGGTCAGGCCATAATATGCGAATGTCCTTTTTTTCCACCTCGTTCACAGAAATCAAAGTGATGTAGTTCGCTTGGGGGAGACTTAAAGAAATGGTCTGGTGGTGGAATGGTAACACACCCGCTTTACATGCATAAATGGCCACCCATTCCTTTAGCAGGAGGTCCTTGTTCGAGTCAAGGTCAGGCCATACCTTTTTCGTTATTTTGTTGATTTTTTTCTTTCGGTTGTTCGAGAGACTCAAGGTAATGTATCCAGTGGTACAATGAGGAAGAGATAAGGCCTGTTGGTGTAGTGGTAGCACATCTGCTTTACATTGCATGATGAACTGGTATCAGTGGGAGATCCTTGTTCGACTCGAGGTCAGGCCATTCCTTTTCCATTGTTTTTGCTGATTTCTTTTCTCTCGGTTGTTCGAGGAACTCAAAGTAATGTATTCAGTGCTGTGGAGGGGAGGAGTATGGCCTGGTGGTGGAATGGTAACACACTTGCTTTACATATATGTGGCAAGTGAATGTTTTCTGCAGGAGATCCTTGTTCGACTCGAGGTCAGGCTATCCCTTTTTTGTTGTTTTGCTGATTTTTTCTCTCTCGATTGTTCGAGGAACTCAAAGTAATGTATTCAGTGCTGCGGAGGGGAAGAGTATGGCCTGGTGGTGTAATGGTAAAACACCTGCTTGCATTATCTGGGTTTTCGGGAGTTTTAAGCAGTGGATCCTTGTTTGACTCAAGGCCAGGCCATTCATTTTTCCCCATTGTGTGCTACATTTCTTTTTCTCGGATGTGTGAGGAACTCAAAGTAATGTAATTTGTTTGCAGAGAGAAAGAGATAAAGCCTGGTGGTGTAGTGGTAACACACCTGCTTTGTATTAGCCACCAGTTGTGAAAGACTTTAGCAGAGGATCCTTGTTTGACTTGAGGTCAGGCTATTCATTTTTTAGTTGTTTTGCTGATTTTTTCTGTCGGTTGTTCGAGGAACTCAAGATAATGTAATTCGTTTGCAGAGAGAAAGAGATATGGTCTGGTGGTGTAGTGGTAACACCCCTGCTTTACATAAGGGAATCGGTATCTGGTTTCAGCAGGAGATCTCTTGTTAGACTCAAGGTCAGGCCATGCCTTTTTGGTTCCTTTGCTGCTTTGTTTTCATTTTTTTCTATTTTCTCTCCAGACGTGTCACCACCATCACTCCTACTTTCTTTCACTCCATAGCTGCGATATCGCTCAACGATGCAATGTGAATTTCAGCTTGAACTTCGACGAGCAAAGGCACGTGTTCCGGAGCCGGGATCCGGAAACGCCCGACTTTGTCTCCTTTATCCGCTTTTCCTTGTTTTGCCCCACTGGGCGGGGATCTGCTTATTCTAGCTTTTACGGTTCCCTACGACTCTTCAATCTGCTGGTCGAGAGACTCGAACCCTAGCTGAGAGGCTCGGAAATCACGAGTACCGTCGGATTGAAACTTCACTGCAAGAGCTCTGAGAAAGCGCAGCTCTTGCATTCCACAATCTCGGGGTCCCAAAACGCTACTAGTGCCGCGCCTTGGTGCTTCAAGCCCTCGGTGTGATGGCGTAAATCTTTCGAATTATGGTCCACTTCAAGCTCTGCCCTCGTATCTCCTGTCTCATGCCTATGTCTCACATATGTGTCCTTCCATCTATCCACGGACACATGCGCAATTTGTGTGGCGCGTCTGACTGACTTATCACTCCCGTCCGAGCACTTCAATTGCTCCCCTGGAACTTCCGTTTTAAGCTGCTCAGCTCGTCACTGGCAAAGACTCTTGTCCAGCGTCCCACTAATACTTGCCCCGCATCGAACACAACTCGCTTGTCCATAATAATCTTGCAACTCTAGTCTTCAGATCCCTTTGCGACGCCTCCTCACTCCCGAGGCGCTTGACGCGCCAGCTACGAACCTAAGATGCGCCCTGCATCGATTCGTGGCATCACACGGCTTCACGTTCTGTGCTTGCCAACTTGAACGCCTTGACGCACTGCTGCAGTGCGATGTACCTCTCGGAATCTTCTCAAGTCGGAACGCATCCGATTGCAGCATCTCTCGAAGGATCGCGCTCAGGCTGAAGCCGTCCCCTATATTCAAGCCGCAAGAGGCACCAATTGAGATGCCCACTATTATATTTGCTTCCTCGCTGCCCGCGCCGTCCTGTCCTAATTATTTACATTCCACGCGTTCCCAACGTGGCCCCGTTTTAGCGCCTTGGATGCTCTCGCGTTGCGAACGCACCCGCACTCGCCACCGTCTACGAGCTTGCTAAGCTGCTGGGATCCCCTGACGCATCGGTTCTTCAAGTTGGTAAAATTGGACCGCATCGACTAGAGCTGCCTCTATGGAGCCCCGTGTTCGTGCCTGATTCCGAACTACACCGCTGCAGAGTAATGAGCAAGAATCTGCCTATTACTTCGGCCCTCGTCTACCGAGAAATGACAACATCAGCAAGACTATTTCCAGAACTTCGTCAATCTATCAAGAAAAGAAAGAAGCGCCATGGCCATTAGGGCAGTGCGGTGCACAGCATCAACGACAGTTCCCCGTTCCCTCTCCGACCTCTGCGCCCCGCTCACCATGCCATTCTTCGCCTCCAGCTCTGGGGCGCAGATAAATGGTGGCAATTTCTATGATATCGGGGGGAATATGAATCTCCAGAGCCTCGGGCAGCCAGAGACCGATCCGCTGATGGCCCTTCACTTGGGCACGACTCCGAATACCAATCGTCCGTTGCTGGGACCAGACCGACGCGACCGACACGCGGGGTCTGCGAGGATGCTGCCGTATGGTGCGTTCCACGCTCGTTCGGGTTGATATATACGTTTAACGCGACGGAAGATATTTCCCGCCGTCCGCAGATTGAGCGACATTCCGATGACCTCCATGGGCCTCCTACGACGACCGAAACGACGTTGCTTTCATCGGTCTCGGAGGCTGGCCCGATCCCGGAGATTGCCGTATCCGCGTTTTTGCCCTTGGATCTCGAACTCGATCAACCGTCTGCAAGAGATTACCATACAACCAACAACGATCCATATCCTAGCCCGGCGAACCATAGGCTCAGCGAGTATCCGCCCGTGCGTCGCCCAGTTTCAGAAGAAATTTGGTCGCCTTTCCCCGACAATCAGGGTTGGTCTACGACAACCTCATATGTGTTAGTTCCAGCACCGTCAAATCCTTGTCTATCTCAGTCACCTTACGAATATGGAGTTCAGTATCTTTCCAGCACGACCTGGGGTGGGTCCGGATTGGGAGAACTGCCCAGCAATCCTTACCCTCCGCCTGATCTCACCGGTGATGCCGGTGAGCATCCCCTGGCTCTGTCTGCCTTTCCTGCCTGGGATCGTCCTCGACACGAGCCTCAAACCAACATCAACGGTGGGACATTCATAAGCGCCCATGGGGACGTGAACCACATACAGCGCCACGGCGAACCAGGTGAGCGGCCTCTCTGGCATCGAGAATGCAACTAAATTTCCGAAGGCCTACATATCCTCTATGGTGCAGCAGCCAATGATGCCTCCCACGATGCAGGAGAGAGGTACCCACAGCCCCAGTGCCATCCTAAAACCCGGACGCAGATGTTGGATGATCTTCATGCCTGGTCCTCCGAGCCCAATCCAAAGCGCAGAATGCTTTGGCTGCACGGTCCCGCCGGTGCCGGGAAATCCGCCATCGCACAGTCCTTCTGCCAGAGGCTAGAGGCAGAAGGCCGCCTCGGCGGAAGCTTCTTCTTTAAACGCGGACATGTTTCGCGCGGAAAGGGCAACAAGCTGTTCCCAACCCTTGCATATCAACTGGCCGTTCTGCTCCCCGAATTCAAGTGTGTCGTCTCCGAGTGCGTGGAGCACGAGCCATCACTCATCTACAAATCTCTCTCGACACAGCTGCAGCGGTTGATCGTGGAGCCATATCGAGACAGTACTCCCTCTCAAACCATTACCATAGTCATCGATGGACTCGATGAGTGCGAAGGCCAAGAGGTTCAACAGGAGATCTTACGCTCATCGGGAATTCCTTCCTCGAATCACATCTTCCTCTTAGCTTTCTCATTGCCAGCAGACGGGAACCTCACATTGACGAAGTTTTCCGAGAACCGTACCTGGCTGGTTCCCATCGTCCTTTGAACATCAAGCAATCATTCGAGGATGTCCGTAAATATCTACGCCATGAATTTGCCCGCATTCATCGGGAGCACCAAGAAACTATGGGTACGGTTCCCAAACCGTGGCCTTCGGCGCAAGTTGTCCAAGGTCTTGTCGAGAAATCCTCGGGATATTTCATCTACGCATCTACGATCATCAAGTTCGTTGATGATAAAGACTTTCGCCCGACAGACCGTCTCGGCGTCATTTTGGGCATCACAGCATTGGACGCTGGGTCTGGATCGCCGTTCAGCGCTCTCGACCAACTGTACACTCAAATCCTCTCTGACGTCCCTGCACGGCCTCAAGTTGTCAGAATTTTAACTTTTGTTGCTGCCGGCCTGCAGCACTCCACAGTGGGTATTCCCAAAATTGAACAGCTTCTCCAGTTGCGGTCAGGGGACGTGCGATTGACCTTGCGGCGCTTGCAATCCGTGATTGAATTACCGTTGACGGAGGATGCGCCGCTCACTGTACACCATGCTTCATTCCTCGATTTCCTCTGGGACCCATTGCGCTCAGGCACCTTTTGCGCTTCGACCTTCGAGCACCGCGCAGACTTGGCCCGCCATATCCTCACGGCATTTTCAAACGCGCACACTGATCCGTCGCTGAATCGAAATGGCGGTCATGTCGCTTGGTATTGCAATTCATCTCGGGCAATGAAAATTTGACTAAATCTCCATATTGCAGGGAACTTGGCAAGCCTGCCCTCAAAGCGGCTTGGCCGTCTCCTGATCTTTTGTCTCTGTTCCGATCCTTGAATCCAGATTTTTTCTTTCACAAATCGTACCGCGAATTTCATGAACTGGTAGCTATAATCTTGGCTTGGCTGAAAGTAAGTCGTACTTAAATTCAGTCGAATTTTCTGTGATTGACCCTAGCTGTAGACAGCTCAGCCACTGCCTGAGGATTTGATCCAGCTTTGGGAGGACTACCGGTTCATCCGTCAGTGTGACCATATTTGGTCTCAAATTCCAAAATCTGCATTTACCAGTACACACCAAGAACCACAAAAGTTCTATAACATCTTATCACAAGCCCCCACGCATCTTCTGGAAATTCTTCGCGCATACAGCGTTGCTAGCCATCACCATGCATTTTTCAACGAAGCTGTTCCTGACACCGACTCGCTTTTCCACATTCGACTTTGGGTAGATCTCTCATGGGAAGACCTGAAGGCTGCTCTCCGCCCTCTTTCCAAAATGCTAGGCGAGGATGAAGAAGGGATTCGTCGACTGTTAATTGCCGCGTCAGATCTGACAATCTGTCAGGAGCTTCAGTTCAACTCGGGATTGCAGGACGTCGATATCGTCGGCCGGTGTCTACGCATTGTGAGGAAAATTGAGGCTCATGAATTACCCTGGCACTTCATGTGAGTCAATTCTCATGCATTCGGTGCAGGACCATCCCATGTAACACGTACTAGGCCATCTAATGTGGCGTGGAGTCGCATTTTGAGATCATGCAAACCTTGTCCCGACCTTCTGCGCGAAATTGAGATTGCCGCCTCAAGTATTGTCCTTGACTGGGAAAGTTTAGACAATACTTTGCAATGGCTCAAGGTAAATGTTTTATACCGCACTGCGAACCCATTCATTTATAACATATTCAGAGTTTCCCTCATCGGCCACGTCAGTTGATCGAACACTTTGAAACCATTCCTCCGGGAAATATTCTTTCCAGACGGAAGATCTTTGCTCACAAGGACGAGGGGTCGGTTCTCTCGTCTCTTCATTGTACTTACCTAGTTAATACTACTCGTACTTCTTAACTTAAGCATTTTACTGACTAGTACTTATGCCAATTGTCAATTGTGACTTGCAATGGGCAGCCCATAAAGACCTTCACCGAACGGTGAAGACAGGAGGGTTTTGTTATTTCAACTAGGATTGCAATATCAGGCCGAATCCTGCCGTATAGACATATATGGTCGTTCAGACGGACATTATATGGTGCCTTAGAACCTGACGGCTATATATCGCAATATACGGCACTGTCCGGCCAGATATGTCAATAATGATTTTTCAGACATTGCCTCCGAGAGTCTGCGCGGGATTTGTGAACTAGTAGTGAGTTAAAGGAGTTATAAAGACGCGGTGATTCCACCATTCATCAAAACGTGGGCTTTGAGGTGGGTATGGGCCTGGTGGTGGAATGGTAATACACCTACTTTCCATATGTACTGTAGTACTAGTATGACGAGTTTCCGCAGGTGGTCTTTGTTTGAATCAAGGTCAAGCCATGTACCATTGAATTGTACCCTTTCAAAAAATTGATTTCATTCTCTCTTCCTTCTAATACCTAGGCACGTCTCTGTTATTTACCACATGTACACATTCTCCCGGCTGACGGATTACTGCATTTTTGATATGCTCAAAAAATCGAGAGGTGTTCAAGTTGGGAGTTTCAAGTTCAAGTTCAAGTTCAAGTTCACGCTCCCGACTCTCGCTACGGTTTGGCATTCCTTCGCTCATAATCTCCCGTTCCGGTTCATACACATCCTTAGAACCGTACCTGCACCTCTCACGAGAAGCCACCCCTCAGAAGCACTGAAAAATTGAACCGACTTCCTTCCAGTCGGTCGGTGACGTGCTCGTGATGCGAACCTATCCAAGATGAAACTCAGCTATGGTTGGAAAATCTGGATCGTGCGGCTATTCACGTCAGAAGAACAATATATCAGTAGCACCCCATCGTTCGTGAGATGGTACAAGAAAACACAGACAGGGCAGGGTTCCGCGCGAGACCTCGAGAGGTCGCTCACAAGGAAAACAGGACAGTATGAGCCGGGGCACGTCGAGGGACGACTGGATATAAGTTACTGCGCGTCGCCCGCAGGATACAACCCTGCCACGACTCGGCTGGCCATCCGCGCCGAGCGCGAAGGGAGCCACGCCCACGAAAAAGAATCGCTACGGGTCCCGAGCGCCGACAAATGCATGTACACACCGCCAACGCACGCTGAGAGGGATCACTTGAAAATTGAGACACGCGAAGGGAGAGAAGACACAGGTATGCCCCACAGAGGGGGAGGACGTGGATGAAGTGCGTACGCGCACGACCCCGCCCAAACTTCATCACAGTGCACGGTAGAGGGCGGAGGGCGTGAGCACCACTGCAACATCAAGCCCAAGTCACAGCGGCAGACCCATACGCAGACGATGAACGCTCCCCCGTTCCGTACGCTGCACAAGCTGCGTGATTTGTAAAAAACGGAACGGCTTACCTTCACATCATAAGATGATAAAGAAGAGGAACCGTCTCAACAACGAGGAGCTTACACATGCATTCTTGTCATACGCCAGCACTGGTGCCAGGTGGGTCGTCGGAGATCTGGAGCGCACCGCCTACAGCCCCGGGAGTGAGACTCAGAGAGAGCTGAGAGGATAGGCAAGCGAAACGCAGTATAACACCTATTTCGCGTCAGTCCTAACATCCGCCAATGGGGAAACGAGTGATGCGCGCGCCTTTCAGATGGAAGCGCTCACGACAGGCTCGCGATGAGCTATCCCCACCGCCCGCCTCCGCCGCCTACATGCTACATGCCACTCATCTGGAACCAGGGCGTTCGGAAGAGCGCCTCCTTGTCCTTGGGGTGACGCGGAAGCCGAACGAGAGGCTGAAGACTGGTGGCCTTCTTGCGCAGGCGCCGCGCCGCTTGCAGGACCATGCCGTCGGTATATGCGTTGGAGGCATCGTTGAAGAGCTTTCTTACGGTGCCCTGCAGAAAAGGGCGAGCTTTAGGCTTAGAGACACTGACAGTGAGACGAGACGTTGCCCTATCACGTGCGGTTCCTGAGTTTCTCACTAAACTTCGTGACTCAGTTGTCCGACTCATCGAGTCTGAGACTGTCAAGGCAACCGATTTGCACTGCCACCTTTGTCCCATCCTTTCCTCTCGACCACTCTGAGTCCATCCATGCACGACCTGCGCCTCCCCCTTGAGCTAATTGGCGCGATTCTCGATCAGCTCGACCGCGGCAGTTTTCTAGCCTTGCGCAGTGCAAACAAGGCCTTCAATGCCCTCACGACGCCGCGTGCATTTCACGAACTTATGGTGACAGACACTGTCGAAAGTGCAGATGGGTTGCGTGGGATTCAATCAACCTTTGCCATCGCGAATTATGTAACATCTATCGTATTTCGCGGCTCCGCGCCAGGTATGCCACCTCATTCCAATGCCATTGTCTTTTCTGAGATTCCCCTTTCCTCGGGACAGAGTTCCCGGAGAACGATCTCACAGGCCCTGCAGCTGAATACGATACCAAGCTCGCGGCTGTGCCCTCAGCGTTCGCGGGGCTGTCCAAACTCCCACAGCTCGTATCCTTGAGATTCGAATTCAACGACGACTGCAACGAGGAGGACTGGGATACCACAGAAAACCCTTCATACTTTTTTCGAATGCAGTGTGCAATTCTCCAAGCGGCCGTCAGTGCCCCTCTGCCGGCGCTCAAGTCTCTAACGTTAACAAACCTGATTGCCCTGCCATACGCCTTGTACGAATCGCAGGCATTTGCAGAGTTCCTCCGGCCGCTCGAAGCACTTTCTATCGACGTGAGCGGCCCGGACGACCTCTCCGAGGGCATCTTCGCGTCGACTGCGCTGGTTGAATTTTGGGAGCAGATGGCGCCGATACTATGTGCCGCACAGATACATTCTTCCTCTCATTCTACTCCGTCGCGCTAACACACCACGCACTTGCAGTCTGTCTCCTCGCTCCGCTTAGCGAGCAATGGGCTCATCGGCATTACCCCCAACCTCACCTTCCCCACCACGCCGCTTCCAAACCTGACCTCCCTCTCCCTCACAAACGTCTGCTTCCATTCAGAGGACTTCCCCGGCTGTCCAGAGAGCTTCATTCTCCTCCACAGCGCCCACCTCACACACCTCACGCTGAAAGACTGTCCGCTCAATGGGTATGATCAGGTGTGGGCCCGCTCGTGGGCAGCGGTGCTTGCGAACCTCGAGGTGAAAATGCAGGCGCTGCGATCATTTTCGATAGGGGGAGATAAGGCCCTGGAGTACACCTACGAGGACATGGGGTGGGGATTTATCACGCTGGACGCGGAAGAGCTGGGGATCGATGGAAGGATGGACCAGCCGGCGCTTCAGGCTCTCGTGGCCACCGTCGAGGCACGGAATTTGGGCAAGGAGACGCAGGGGTAACATTCCTGAATGGTGGATTCGGAGTGCTTGACGCCGCTGCTTCTCAGTAGGCTCGAATCCAGCCTGTGGTTATATTCCATTTTCAAACTTGCCGAGTCGGAATCAGCGCACTTCTTTTCTACGAAATGGGGGCTGGAGGCTGAATTCGTAGTGAATCGGACCATGAGCATCTCACATGTAGTTCTATTCGCTAATTACCCTGAGAAAAACATAAATTGAAAGCACACATCTGGTTATTGCAACCAAGAATAAACGCGGACCAGCATAATTAATTTTTCTGCGCGGCAGTGGATTTACCCGTAATTCTGATGGCTCCCACGGTTCAACCGTCCTGTTTATTCTCGTGTTCACTCACAGTTATATGGACGACTATCCTGCATCACAGTAAATCAGATGCTAAGCAGGTAGGTAACCTAATTTTATACGGCCTGGTCCGAATAATGAACGCCAATGTGGGTAGCCGGCATCAGACGAACACGCAGTCACATCAGCACGAAACGTCGCGAGTCCCACTCACGATCAACTGAACCCCGCTATCAAATACATGGACATTGGGACTCACGAGTCCCACTCCCACTCTTCTCGTTGTTACTCCCATGAACACAACCATGGGTTGTATTTGCAACAGATCCCTGTGTTCCCCATCATCAAATGGTCGTTGTACAATTGGGGCCATCTGACCGTCCCACGGATTCCGCTCCTGCTCTAAGCCGCGCGGGCTGGATACGGACACGCTGTGTCACCTTCCCCTTCGGGGAGTGCAGTTACTGGGTCTGTCACCGTATCTATCACCTTGCCGCGTTGGAGGTGTGTTTTCCATCCTACCCTCTAAGAACTGTCCGGGAAAAAGATTGAACACATGGGAAGTTTCATATACTGCAAAGTACATAGTCCGCCCAATATTTTCCAATAGTTCGGAGTGAGAGGAGGGCATGGCACTTTCACCTCCCTCGCGTGTTCTAAGGGTGGCTGTCCACGAGTGCGGATCACCCGCGAGCGAGTTGATCCGTGAGAAAACCCGCGGGTTTTCGTCAAAGTCTCGTACTCGTGGGTACCGTGACCACGGGTTTTTCACGGATCCGAGTTCAGATTCCATTAGTAATAGAAACTTTTTCAACATTGTGAGTACTCACGCCATTTTGAGCAGGTGAAGCGTATTTTAATCAAGGTCTCCAACCCAGATGCAGCAGTTCAGGTATTTTGAACGTCATTATGGATGGAATGATATCTTTCCATGACATATATAGACAAACTCATTTTCGGTGATAACACACATAAAACAGCAGAAAACCCGAAGGTACTCACAGGTACTTGCGAGTTTGGAAACTCACAGGCACTCAGATGACCTGCAGGTTTTATACTCGTGGATCCGGGTTCCGTATTTTCTCTCGCAGGTCGCCACTGCGGATCCGGGTCACCCACGAGTATTACCGGATTTGTATTAGGGTCATCTACAAGTCCGGCAATTTTTTTTCATCGGCTTGTCCATCTCGTATCCCTTGGCTGTTTTACAAGGCTATGAGTGAATAATACATGAAGCGATACCGGAAGAAACCAGAAAGAAGTAGGCTCAAGTTGGAGGAAGAAAATAAAACTCTGGAGCATTCGGCGAAAATCACCGGTGACAGACACGGTGACGGACCCAGTTACTCACGCCCTGACAGACCTTGGCCCGCCGTGGGAGGTAGTAGACATACACGCGAATAAGAGGCCCACAATTGGTATCAGATACCAGTAATAAGAGGCATCGCGTCATTATTGTCCACAACCCCCACCATGTCGCCCGCGCACTCAGAGATCCCGCTCCTGGACTTCACGCTCGTAGAGCGCGACAGGCCCGCGTTCATCGCGCAGCTACGCGGCATGCTGATTAACGGCGGGTTCGTCTACCTCGCGCAGACCCCCGTGCCGACGGAGATCGTCGACAAGATGGTCGACTCCACCGCCAAGTTCTTTGCGCTGCCGCCCGATATGAAGGACTCGGTCGACATGAACTACTCTGCGCATTTTAATGGGTACCTGCGCAGAGGCAGCGTCGAGAACCCCACGCGTGAGCAATTTAACTATGGCGACGAC